ATCGGCCATAATTTTGCTGGCGGGCAACCAGTGCGTTGGAGCAACGCAGCAAATTTGCTGCGTGCGTGACAGCGATGATTCAGTGGCGCTGCCGCCGATGGAGACGAGCTTCCGGTCAAGCTTCCGGGGAGCGGGAGACTTGGAAACATGTATTCTATACCAAAAACTCCTCAGTTTCTACTCGACGCAATCAAGTCGCCAAGTCGACGTAATGGATGCGCTGGTGGTGAGTGTGTAGCGGCACGAGGTCAAAACCCAGTCGTGTGGGTCACCAATAGACAAGTGTGTAAGACTGAGGTAAACTTTGTTTAACTTAATATGTGCTTGATATGGTGGCAAGGACTTCCACACATAAACTGAGCAAAACAGACATTTGAAGCGCCAAATTTGAGCTTCTAAGAAAGGATTTGAGAACAGTGACTTTGAATACTGAACCGGGGTGGCCTTGCAAGTTGAACTGACTTAGCGCCCCTGGCTTAGCTAAATGCCACCACAGCGAACTTTGAATATTAAACTGGATAGACTGGTTAAACTCCGGCCCGGAATTGTAGTGTCTAAGAGTGACACACATATGGGTCTTAGCTTTGGAAAGTCGTGTCTATCTTGCAACAAATTGTCTTTATCTCATTTGCAAGGACATGCCTTGCCCTCGGCCGACCCGGGGCAGCAGAGCATCTACAGACTGAGCGGTAGAGGTTTGTTCATACTGCGGCTGAAAAGCAGTAAGCAGAATAAACCCAAGCCACCAACAAAGTGACAGACACCAAGCCTGAACACGGCCCCGGGTCTTCCAGTTGACGGCACACAGTTTGGCTGCGGCCGCACGCTGTTAGGTATCGGGCTGAGTTCACATTCAGAGCGCCTTGTCATTGATACGGACATCGGTATGTTGATTATATTAACGTCTCATGAGCACTGTCATTGGCCGTGTCTTTCTTTGATTTCAGCCTGGAAAAGTAAACTAAATGAGCGGAGTAGAATTATTCGACTGGAATAGTTTGCACCAGCGCTGTTGGGATTGATTTCAGAGTGGTGACCCAGCACCGGCACTATCTCCTGCGGTCAGTAGCGAAGGATGTGGCCGGCGATCTGTACGAGTGGCTATACGCCATGAACCCGCTGCTGGCCGGCCAGATCAGGTCAGTGGTTGGCTCCCACCGAGCTCATTCGCTTCCATCATCTGGCGTCGGACTGGCTCAGGTATGATTGGTGCCAGATAAAAGCCATCCACGTCGCGCTATGTTGAACTCAACGTGCCATGACCTCTAGCGACGTGGCTATAGCCCCAGCTCACCTGAACAATACCGTCTCAGTGACGTTCCGTGCTTCCAGGTCGACGCAGGGTCGCAGGCGTCACATCTCCGGCTCCCGCGGCACCTCCACGTGCCACTGAGTGTGCCACAGAGTGGACCGCTGGGTTCTGATGAGCCGCTGAACAGAGCGGGCCCGGGCGTGGCGCCGGTGTGACGGTCGTGTCCGCCCGCGCCGCTCACGGCCTCTCCTCTAGACCGCTCCGCTTCCCGTGTGCCGCTCAGCTGTGCTCGCTCCACGTGCCGGAGCTGCGCGCTGGCACGTGTAGAGCGCCCCTTAGTCGTGCCCTCGCCGACGGTCGCCGCGCGGGCCAGGGCGCCCGCTGCGGTCGGCCGCGCGCGCGGAGCCGGTGTTCCTCGCAGCTAGTACGTCGGAAGCACGCCCGCGCCTTCGCACGGGAGTCCTGTCAGCCGTCGGTTCTCCAGTCTTGCCTTACGCTTGTTGGCCCCTGCACGGGCCAGTCACCCTGAGTCTGCTGCTGCCCTGGCGCAGCTGCCCTCCGAGTCTGCCGCTGCCCTGGCGCAGCTGCCCTCCGAGTCTGCCGCTGCCCTGGCGCAGCTGCCCTCCGAGTCTGCCGCTGCCCTGGCGCAGCTGCCCTCCGAGTCTGCTGCTGCCCTGGCGCAGCTGCCCTCCGAGTCTGCCGCTGCCCTGGCGCAGCTGCCCTCTGAGTCTGTCGCTGCCCTGGCGCAGCTGCCCTCTGAGTCTGCCGCTGCCCTGGCGCAGCTGCCCTCCGAGTCTGCTGCTGCCCTGGCGCAGCTGCCCTCCGAGTCTGCCGCTGCCCTGGCGCAGCTGCCCTCCGAGTCTGCCGCTGCCCTGGCGCGGCAGCCGTCGGTGGCGTGGGAGTCGCCCAGCTTGACGCCCTTTCACGGATGGCTGCCGATATTTATACTTATGCGTGCGCGGGGGCGAGGCTGCGGTGTTTCGTCTCTGAGTTCTGTGATCATGGTGATCGGTTGTCTGTGCAAGTCTGCCTTGCTGTCCAAGCACAGCGGTACCGGCCGCCGCACTCCCGTGTTTCTCAGTTTGGCGCGTGATGTGTGGGCGAATACGTGTGCCGTGATTATCGGCAAGGCGCACGTCAGACGGGCTAGGTGAGTGGGTAGACCATGTAGAGTTTTCCAGCTGTTGGACCCCTTTTGGAGTCTGGTACGCGGAGCACAAGATTGTTTGGTCTTGGGAATTCCAAAGTTGTACTGCGCTTGTGATAGATTGGGCTCCGACCGCCGTTGGATCCAAGGCAGGAAAAATGGTCATATAATCATTGATGTAACATATAACGTAACCCCCCCCCCCCCCCCCGGACCATAAAAGGTGAAGCTGTGCCCCTTGTGAGACCTGTTTTTGGTTAAGTGGGCCGGTGTTCTAAACTCGACCCTTCAAGATGCCACACTGGTTCCGTTCTGACCAAAAACGATAAAATCGCATCCACATTTTGGCGCCCCGTGATCAATTGTTGGTCGACCTTCGCATATGCATCCTTTGACTTCCGTATAATCGTTGTGCGCTTTCATACAGGCTCTCGTCTACTCTGGTATGATCAGTGCTTGTTGAAAGGTTACGGGAGTCGTGGGTTCGAAGACAGACTTCGCAAGCGTGGCAAGTCGACCTGGGAATGACATTTCGTTAGTTCAGATCGCTCGCCGTGGTCCAAGCGTTCAATCTTCGCCGCAAACTGAGGCCTTCGGTGCCGTATCATTGTGACCAGGTAGCCCCAAGTCCTCGGGCAAAGCCCAGTTTGTGATAAGAAGCTTCTTATCGGATACGTCCGACGCCCGGGCACGCTCGCTCGCGGCTCCGCAGATGCCCTGATATCGCGCCCGTCGCCTCAGACGCGCCATCACTTCACGTGACATGTCGCACCAAAGAGCTAACATTGAAAACGTAGTGCTATGATATTAGAAGTAAGGAAGGACTAGTGATTCTCAAGAAGCTAAGTATTCGACATCACACTAGTTGCCAACGATGGCCCGTTGTTGCATTGTAACAACCGGCATATCGGCTGGCGCCTGGCATTCGACGCAAGGTGTCCCGCGGTGTTGTGATTACCGCGCAATGTAGACGCGTTGCCGTAAAGGTGACGCTATCTTATTCGTCACCGCCGTGTGATAACAGGTATTCAAAAGTGCTCTCCAGCCCCGCATGTCACGCAGGCATAGATGCTACGATCAGCTTGCAGCTTAGGAATCATTCCGCGTGCATAAGGAGGCACACGAGCAAATTTGCTTGCCTCCGGTTTTAGTTTTGGATCAGCGCTTCTTTTGCGAAGTTCGTATTCCCTCGCCCCTGACAAAATCCAGACCGACGATAAGGCACTGATTATGCCACTTTTGTTTATTACGTTTTTAATGGCATAGCCGTACCACGTCAACCGTGTTCCCGCTCCACCTTCCGGCCAATTTTACGACATCCCACATCAAGACGTTAACCAAACGCATGCATCTGAGTGGCAGCTTCGCTTGCCCCAAAGCGTCGATTCACTGCTTGTTTAACTTTTCGTGGTGTTTCTTGAAAGAGAATGGTTTGCATTCATACCTATGACCGGGTATCTACACACTGTGATTTCTCCAGCTTGTTCCGATGTCATTGCTGTGCGAGTCATATCGAACATTCCCTATCGGGCGCACGCAGATGAACGAGTCTCCAGTAAGCTGGTCGCAACAATCATAATTCCTTGGCTGTCTGGGCCACGGCCGTGATTCAGAATCGTTGCTGTGATTCCAGCGCATGAATCGTTTCCGCTATAAACAGCATATCTTTCTGGCTCCCGACGACGGGCGCCCGTTGGTCCGCAGCTGTGACAGTGTGTATAAGCATACTTGTGCTCTGAAATAGCTTCGCTATATTGCAAATATATCGGTGTAAATGTATCGATAGTTTTTGAAATAACAATTTGGCCGGAAATCCGGATGCCCGCGAAGACTCTGGTTGTCACATATGTTCCATCATGCACATTATGGTGTGAATCGTCCGGCAGACCACTCATACTTGGAATTTGTCCGCGCTCAGTACTCAAGGGCGTTCTATCTCACTTGCCAAGCGCATAAACCAAGTACTCCAAGTGGCATCCTCAGTTCGCGATAAGCTCCGCAGGACAACTGGGCAACTGCGTCTTAGCAAATCCCAAAGACCGGACCGACTTCAGGCACAGCTCTTTGTTCAGGTCAGTACCTAGGCGGTCTTATGAAGTCAACCTATGTTTCACAGTAACCACGTTTGAGACTGTCAACTTCCGCCGAAATGTATTCCAACAAAACGTAACAAACGTTAGATTGGTGACAAAATAACCCGCCACTCGGTGAAGCTGATGATGAAATCAGTGCAACGTTTTCACGCTCGTAAGAAGCGACGCACCGAGACGCCTATGGCGAGAGTTCGCCTGCGCTCCCTAAAGGTCACATCGCCCAGTTTGCCGATTGTGGGCAGAGCGTGGAGCCTGGTCTAGCATCCAGAACGAAGGGTTGGCGCTGAACCTGAGCACAGCTGTCCACCAAGCGCCGCCGAGGCTCGGTGAGAGCAGGCGGACGCCTCCCCTCCCCGGACCTCGACACACCAAGCACGCCGCTCGGCATCACAGGAGCTGTGACACACGCCACTCGGCATCACAGGAGCCGCGACGCACGCCACTCGGCATCACAGGAGCCGCGACACACGCCACTCGGCATCACAGGAGCCGCGACGCACGCCACTCGGCATCACAGGAGCCGCGACACACGCCGCTCGGCATCTTAAGAGCCGCGACACAAAGGAGGATCACATCAAGGAGTCATATCAGGGTCACAAGTCACATCAGGAGGTCGCATCATAAGGAGTCTACATCAAGCTGACGCACGCATTTAAACGCCAATGGAGCCAGGCGAGTTCCTGCCGTGCGCGCCTCCCAGTCGCAGGAGCCACGACCTCGTGGCAGCAGTCACCAACCACGTAACGTATGTCACACCCACCGCACCACCGGCTGATCCCTAGTCGAAGATCAGACTAACCAAGCGACACGTGCGACACGTTTCTGTTCAGCAATATCCACGTTGCGCATAAGATCAACGATGAACATTCATTAGAAAACGTCCCAGGCAAGAAGCTGTTCTCATCTGACGTCCTGGATCAGTCCCCGCAAAATCGCACAGACTACGAATAAATCAGAAGTCGTTCGGACTATTTGGCACGTTTTAGCCAGCCGCCTATGCACAACATGAGTGGCAGAGCTTGTACCGCATCCTGTCAGCCTCAGGCAGCTGCCACCGGACCAGGGCCACCATACTATCGGCCGTTGGCGTTCGAATCGCCTGACGTACGCAACAATGAGATCACCCGCCTACGAGCACAACGAACCACACAGCTGGCACGATAACGCTAACGGACAACAAACAACTACTCTCAGAAACTGAGATAATGATTGACGCGTACCGAACGAATGCGGTAAGTAAATGCTGCTGCTGCTAAAAAAAAATAAGCTGCTACAACTGGTAATCACTGGGCTGTGCGTTGCCATACTAATGCCAGACTAAGCCCAACAAAAGATAATGCCAGCTCCCTGAGCTCACACCAACACCACCTACGCATAGCCAAACACGACCGAGAGCTGGATACAGTTAACAACCAGATTGACACCCCACTGGACAGCGGGGCAGTGATCCCACCTCGAATCACTTTTCCTCCTACCGGATCACCTGGATTCATTAGGAATGCTTAGCCAGAGCTGAGCGGGAACAGACGCCAGTTTTCACGCAGCGCCGCTGTAGACTAGCAGCTGTTACTCGCCAGACATTGACGCCGACGACTGTACAGGCTCTACCGTTATCAGTCTAGGAGCAGGAGTAGCCTGGTGGCGTCACCCCTTCACAGCGCGGTGCCGATAGCGACTAGCAATAGGTACCATTCACAGCGCGACTCTCGTGATGACCAGGCATGGCAGCTGCTTACCGTAAGGCGTCGCTGGGGGCCCTGCAGTCATCCTTCACCACGCCAGATCCCCGATGACCGGGTCAGACTGGAAGCCACTACGTAAAGCCGCTCCTCGCCCGGTCAGACTGGCAGCCACTACAGGAGCCACATGACTGTTGGCCTGAGCGGTCCGGCGTGTTTAGCCGGAGCTCTCGGTGGCCGCGGCGTCCGTCCGACGAGAGGAGCGCCGCGTCTTGCCGGCGGCGCCGGCCGGTCTGTGTACACGCCTGTGGCGGATCAGAGCGCTCTGGTCGCCGAAGGCCGATGGGCACTGCTGGCACTTGTACGGCTTCTCGCCCGTGTGCACGCGCAAGTGACGGGAGAGGGCACCGTGCTGCACGAACCTGGCGGCGCCAGCCGACGGTCAGCACATCGTCCAGCTGAACCGCCAACATAACCCCATGCCCGATGGGACACAAGAGGCTGCAATCATCCCGTAACGATAGTTGCATGCCGCATGTCAGGAATCGTTCTTAACTGCGCAGGTGATTCAAAGTGTTTCATCGCCCAGCACAGATAGTTATGGCATGCACGCACATGCTGCCCTTAGCTGCGTTGGGAAAGATTCCGAATCCGGATCTGGCAGCGCAATTCATCTAACCGATTGTAGCTTACAAAAACGGCGCGCATCAACTAAGCGGGCGCTGGAGGCCCCATTCAGCACCGATCCATTCGGCAGGTTACGTGACTATCAATCAAGGGTCAAGGTTTGGCTGGTACCAGCACGGCGCCAGTTTTTAACATCTACCACCAGTAAACATCTCCTACCACCGGGCAAAATTCCAGGACCGCTAGCTCCAGCACGGCTCCAGTCACTGCCGCCGGAACTGACTCGGCATCGGCCGCCAGCAGCATGCATCAAAACGTTGCATCTTCACCGCCCCTCCGCGTTACACGACGAACGCGCTCCGAATACGCCGCAGCCTGATCGCCCCCGGACGGAGAGCTGGCCGGCCGGCCACCTGAGGACGGCATGCGGGGTACTGTCTCGCGACCGGTCGACCGGCCGCCTGAGGACGGTGTGCGGGGTACTGTCTCGCGACCGGTCGACCGGCCGTCTGAGGACGGTGTGCGGGGTACTGTCTCGCGACCTACCTTTTCTGGCAGACGGAGCACTGGTGCGGCCGGCTAGCGTAGTCGCCGTGCGTCAGCTCGTGAATGCGTCGGTGGCCGGCCTCCGAGAAGCGACGGCCACAATGGCTGCAGGGGAACGGCCGGGCTCCGCTGTGCTTCTTCACGTGTGTGGCCAGGTAACTATGCCACTGTGACATAGCAGTGGGGGTCAACAAGAGGCCAGGTAACTATGCCATTGTGACACAATAGTGCGAGTCAACAAGAGGCCAGGCAACTCAGCCACTGTGACATAACAGTGGGGTTCAACAAGAGGCCAGGCAGCTCTGCCACTGTGACACAACAGTGGGGGTCTATAAGAGGCCGGGCAGCTCTGCAACTGTGACATAACAGTGGGGGGTCAACAAGTGGTCTAGCACCTCTGCTAATGTGACGGAATGGACGTCAACGAGCGGCCAGGTAACCCTCCCTATGTGGCGGAGGGGCGCAGCTCAATACGAGGTCAGGTAGCTCCGATAGCATGACGGGGGAGTGATGGTCAGCAGTGGATCAGGAAGCTACGCTGCTGTGGCGGAGGTTAACAAGTCAGCGGGGGAGAGGAGGGGGCAGGTAACTCTGACACTGAGGCTGAAGAGGCCATGAACCAGGCGTTCTGCTGCTGTAGAGGATAAGGAAATAAATCGAGTCCTGCTAGCTCTGCCACTATGACGTAGGTGTGTTCGACAATATGACAGGGTTAGTCAGGCATTGGGTAAGGTCAGTCACATCCAACTAAAACATGACATCGGTACTTGGCTTGAAACGCCACTTTTGCCCTTCGATCCAGGCAAACAGAGAGCGTTGAGCATACACCTTAAGCAGCTACATGACCATTAAGAACCTTAAAGATAGGGAGACCTGGATGCGGCCGCGAGCGTTCAACACTAAAAACCGGAGGCCCCATGCCACAGCTGACCTTGAAGCGTTTGCCGCAGATGTGACACTGCGGCATCTGGTCCGGCTCCAGTTTAACGTGTGTCGTCTCCAGGTGCTTGTTCATGTAGTTCTCCAGCGGGAACACCTTCCTGCAGAGCGGGCAGGGCCAGCGCTGGACGGGCACGTGGCGCGCGCGCTGGTGCTGGTGCAGACCGGCCGTGGTCATGTAGCTCTTCTGGCACTTATCACACTTGTACCTGGCAACGGAAGAGGCGGTACGTCGCAGGGCCGCGGCGACATCGACGCACTGGTCACACGCACTGCCGCCCGCGCGACTGTGTTGTTGCGCTGAGGTCAATTTAAAGTGAGTATTCCACATTTGCATGAGGTTTTTAACTGAAATAGTCATCTTAAAGATAGTTTGATGCAGTCCGCAACCCCACCCCTCTTGATACCTAAGCCCCTTTACTTTCTGAGCTACACGCCCGCGAAAATGTGCAGACTATTTAGTGAAGATTATTTCAAGGTCACCCAGGCATCCGTGATGCTACAATAACGTCATTCGAATCGTGTCATTCCATTGACCTTGATACGCTCAGGGCAAAACAAAAATATCGAGCCGTTGATATCTAGCGTTCGTGAGCACAATTTCCAGATATAACGGATGTCAATTGACTTCCGATCGATGTTGTGCAAGGTGAGATGACGCAGTCAAACAATGACATAGTGGGGAGCATATTTAATAATGGAGACGTTGTGTGGCTAGAGAAGTTATTCACACTCAAAAAGAGTACTAAGAGTCATAAGTGAGCCTATCGTCACATCTGAGGCTGGCTTCAATATCTTGAAATGTGGAGCATTACCGTAAATGACAATCGTGAAGCGTTACTCTTATTACAACGGAACTGGTTGAAAAACGGCCCGACGACTGGGCAGCTCACCTCAGTTCACTGAACAGTTGGCGTTTTGTATATATATTCACCCATATTACATATATATATATATATATATATATATATATATATATATATATATATATATATATGAAAGTGCTGGCATCACGTACTGCTCTCAGAGAGACCATATATATATATATATATATATATATATATATATATATATATATATATATATATATATAGTCTCTCTGAGAGCAGTACATGATGCCAGCACTTTCAAATGCTATAATCAGAAGCAGCTATTGGCGGCGAAAGAGCTGTACATCACGGATGAGAGCAAGCGAATTGTCTTATATGTGTGTAAACTGTCCAATACTCTGTGCTAACGGAAGCTATGGCGTTTCCACATCGCATCAAGGCTCAACACGCTATAATAAACTATTAGATGATTCCGCCGCACCACAAAACGTACACTGAGCAATACTGCAATCATTCCACAATGTTTTTACGGGGAATAAGTGGAGATGTCCGTCAATCACATGTGAGGCAGCGAACTCTACGCGCGGTCATACCGTTAAAATAAATAGGAGCAGCGCCAATGAAACCACTGCGCAGAGAGGCAGCAGCACCGCTTGATCAGAGAAGGGCACAGGCGGAGGATGTGTTTAGGTATATTTGTTCCATGCAACGCCGCATGCGCACCGTTTAACGTGAATATTATTGGAGAGCGCATCGCCCTGCACACCTGCCCGCATCGCGGCCCGCCCGACTGGCAACCAGCATAATTACCAGCGATATTGTAAACAAATGGGGGCCATCCCACGTTGATGGCAGTGGCGATTCATAGTACGGCGGAAACCAAACAAGGGTGCAATTTGTTAAAACTCGATTACAAATTCCAGAGGCGCGTCGAAAGTCATTAATACGGCAGCAGCGATGTCAGACCAGCCGACAAGTAACGTGCTAAGGTCGTCACAAGCGAACTCAAGTCGGCGATCACTGATGAACTGAGGCATTTCGCACGTGCGCATAGCCAGGCATACCACATCATGTCACAAATAAGATCGGTGTGCAGTCTCCGACGACCATACGCCACCCGGTGTGCAGTACAGCGACGGCCACCGGGGGACAGCAGCCGGAGCGGCGCCGGCCGCTGCCGCCGTGCTCACCTGACGCCCTGGTGATGGGTCCGCCGGTGGCGCAGCAGTACGCTTGGGTCAGCGTATGCCTTGTCGCAGTCGGCGCAGCCGTACGGCCTGCGGCCCGTGTGCGTGTTCATGTGTAGCTTGAGCGCCCCCAGCGTCATGAAGCGCGCGTCGCAGCGGTCGCAGTAGACGGGCTTGGCGCCGTCGTGCGTCATCTCGTGCTTGCGGCGAGTGTCGTCGCTGGTGAGGCGTGCCGGGCAGCGCGAGCAGCGCAGCAGCGCCGGCATGGCGCGCCGCTGGCCCGGCCGCACCCGCGCCTCGGTCACCACCTCATCCACGGCCTCCTCCTTGATCTGGATCGCTGGTGATCCGAGCGGCACCGCCGCTGCCGCTGTCTCCGCCACTACCGAAGACAAGTGGGTTAGCTGATCAGAGGAGCAAAGAGCAGGCAGTGGAGACACGGAAGTCGCACGACCCACCTCAAAGGCGGCCATGTGCCCACTGAACACCGCTTAGACATCATCAGCAATGGACAGTGCACTGTAGTTTGGTATATCAAGCTAAGAAGTGAGAAACATACCATCTGGGATGCATGGTCTTTCCTTCACATTCCTTCTTGTAGGCTTCATGGCGAAATGCCTTCACACTGAAACAAAAATAGAAGTGACATGCTTCGTTTTTCACTGGATTCTACAAGAATTCATCTCAAAAGAACCAGTGTGATGCTCCACCCTATGCCCACACAAGTTGGATGAGAATAGGCAAATCTAATAGACACATGGTCACAACAACCTTAAATGTGGTAATGAACTCCCAAACCATCAGTTTGTGAGCAGGATGTTGCAGGGTAATGGGGGGGGGACAGTGACCCTTGTGGTGATGCCAGCAATTATTTGAGGCCACAGGTAAGTGACCAGAATTTTGACAGCATGGTGCAGCAGTGGTTTACCAGAGGGGCCCTGCAACTGGGAAGACCTCAAATTTGCTCTTGTCAACTTTGCACACTTTCCAATGGCAGTCTCCCATTTCAACTCATCATAAGCCTCATGGTCAATCTAGGACCCCCTAGATACTTCCAAAAGCCTTACAAAAAGCTTGCTTGCTATTGCTGCATTTTTAGTTCCTACGACTTCCTGAAAGTTCCAGGAGCTCCCCTCCAGTAGATGCAGCATTTCTTCTACCCTGCGCCTTCCCCATGTCCTTTAGCAGTTATTGAAAAGGTGAGATAGCCAGATTGATCGGTTTCCTATTATTCATTCATCTTTACATGCACATGATAACAATGAAAGGAAGCATCAGATATAGAAAAAAATATCTTGGCACCTGCCAGTGTTATTCTGGGTCTAAGCTCTGAGTTAATTCTGCTTCTTATTTCAGCTCACCAAAAATTGAACACTTAAATTAAAAGTAAAGAAAATTTTGTTGTCAGACAATATAAGGATGAGGGGAAAACAGCTGCATATATGTTCAATAAAGCTTGTTTGCATTGACACCCTTGTGGGGTAATGCATCCCCCAATTACAGGGCAGAGCATCCTTGGAGCACCCTACCCTTCCCTGTAAGACCTGCCTGGGTAACCCATGCTTTTGACATGTCACAGCTTGTGACATACTGGCATTGGATGGTTTACACTGTCCAGTCTGCTAGTCTACTTTTTGTGCATTTGCTGCGCATGTTTTGTTTCTATCCACAAATCACTCAACCACATTTAACTGGTAACTTCTGGATTTAATAACAGATATGTTACATCTACTCATATGCTTAAGTATTCCTTCTTACATGGTAAACACAGCTTATGCAATACTTGTGTCTGGCATGGATGAGGAGAGGATATGGAATGTAATACATCAGCCTACCATTTTGGTTTCTTATCTCACATGTACATGGAAACATGTGTACTACAAACTTCAATACCAACTATGATGCTCCAAAGAGTGAGTTATTATATGTCATCAATTTTACATGGGCTTAATATTGGCTTAATGAAGCATTTGGTGCAAAATCAATACTGCTGACCAGTGACTGCTGACCACACTGTTGCGACGGCTCTCCCTTCACAGATTACCTATTCTTGAGCTTGGACCTGGCCCAAATTGGTGTTTACCTGGCACAAGGTGCTGTTAAGCCTTTACTGGTTGACACTCATCAAATTCAGAAAAAAACATGCCTGCACATCACACATGTCAGACTGCCTTTGTATCATGCTCCATGGAGGCCACAAATCAATGGGCCCACAAATACCACAAATAGGTATGGTTTGTCAGATTCCAAAATATCCTTGTCTAATTTCACGTAATATAATTGTCTCGTGCCACCACTTCTATTTTCTTCTTTAGACATCTGCATGCATGCAGATAAGTGTCAAAGCTATCCATGCAGATAAGTGTCGCAGCTATCTGCTAACTTAGAGACTACCTATTTTAGGTTGAATGGTCTGTCACAATAGCATTCAAGGACTCCGTGACTAATTCTGTTATTCACAACCATCAGTCGATTGGCTTTTCTTCAAACGCTGACACGAACTGCATAACAATGCAGGCAAGTTCGATTTCAAGCCGCACTCACCATCACGGACCATGTCAGACCTTCCATCTGCGCGACCAGGGCAAGAGAACATCCGTCACTCCGAAGCTCCAAAGCAAGGCTATCTGACGGCTCCAAGGTTTTGACTAGTACGTATCGATACGTACTATAAGTATACCAGACTCGGGATTAATACCAGATTTAGTATGTTGTACCAAAAATTGACAATCTTTGGTTCGCTGGTGACGATTAAGTGTAATCACGTTTCTCGGTCGCGAAATGCTTCAAGTGCTGTGCAATACTGGGGATGACGGTTGGAGGATCAGGTTGTGTTCGAGTAATTTCAGATGCTTTTAGGCTAATCAGATGTATGTTATTCTTTGCTAAGTCACAAGTCCGGAGCAAGTGTGGCAGTCCGGAACAAGTGTGGCAGTCCGGAACAAGTGTGGCTGAAGATGGCCTTGAGTGGGAAGGATGTCCTGTTAGTCGGCTGCATACACAGAAGTCCATCAGTCAACATCCAATACCGTGTGGGCCAATTGGAAGACCTTCCTCCGAAAGCATGCAGAGTCCAGTTCTCTCACTTGATGGTTGTAGGCGACATTAACTTGCCTCAGATTGACTGGGCACCAGAGTGGTCGTCAGGTCCAGAGAGTCATCCAACCCACTCATTGATAGACACCATTCAGAGCTGTTTCTTGTTCCAGCATGTCCAGCAGCCAACACGTGACCGGGTTGGTGAAGCTCCTAGTGTTCTGGATCTCATTTTCACAAATGAGGAGGGCATGGTGAGCCAAATTCAATACCTGCCTGGGCAAGGTAGCAGTGACCATATGCTAATCAGGTACACTTTGGTCTGCTACTCTGGGCTGAAACTGCCAACCAGCTGGCGGCCAGCTGACACAAGCGTTCGGCTGACACCCTCAGGTCAATGGACTGGTCCCTGATGGAGAGCCTCAGCCTCGAAGATGCTTACAAGTTCTTCAAGGAAATAATCGCCAGGACTACTGAGGTTTGCTCCGTCGGGAGAAAGGGAAACCTAAGAAGAACTTGTACATGAACCCAAGGGCCATGCAGCTAAAGAAGACTAAAGAAAGACTGTGGCGAACGTACACGTGGATTCAGGATGTTCTGGACCATGCCCGGTTTGTGCGTTGTCGCAATGACCTTCGGAAGTTGACCAGAAACCTTCGGAAAGAGTATGAAATGAAATTAGTAGGAGACCTCAAAAAAAACCCAAGGCCTTTTGGAGGATGCGCCAACTCAAGACTACGCACAAGATGCAGGGTAGACGACGTTCTTGACGATGATGGAGTGTTGACCAGCAGAAACGAAGGGAAGGCCAATGTCCTCTGTAAGTTATTCGCCAGTGTTTTCACGGACCAAGGGACTCGTGCCATGCCTGTGTCGCTGTGCAGCTTTACTGGACCGTTTCTGGATGACGTGGACATCTCTAACCAGGCAGTGGCAAAGAAATTGGCTACTCTGGAGACCTGGAGCGCCCTTGGGCCAGACGATGTCCATCCAAGGCTTCTTCGCGAGTCCGCAGGTGCCCTGGCAGCGCCCCTCAGCATGTTTTTCCGAAAATCTTTGGCATCCAGAAGGTTCCCCTGGGGAGGAAGCTTGACGAGGTAGTCCCGATCTTCAAGAAGGGTAACCGGCAATCTCCAGCGAGCTACCGTCCAGTGAGCCTTACTGCCATTCCCTTCAAGATACCCGAAACTTTCGTCCGTGATGCCCTATTTAATCACTTCTCGGACTCTGGGCTTCTTCATGCAGCCCAGCATGGGTTTCTGCCTAAGCGGTCCTGTATCACCCAACTGTTCGAGGTCATGGAGGATTGGAGCGCCGCGATAGAGGATGGAGAGCAGGCAGACGTGGCGTACCTGGACTTCAGCAAAGCCTTTGATTCCGTGCCTCACGACCGTCTGCTCTCAAAGCTTCATGCTTACGGCGTGAGAGGTAATTTCCTACGCTGGATCAGGGCTTTTCTTGCCCACGGGATGCAGAGAGTGCGAATCCAAGGCTCAGACTGGACCGACGTCGTCAGCGGCATCCCGCAAGGAGCAGTACTTGGACCAACGCTGTTCATAATTTTCGTGAACGATCTGCTAGAACAAATGCGAAGTGTGGTCAAGATGTTTGCGGATGACACCAAGGTGTACTGTCGTGTCCCGAGGCCCCTGACTAACTCACCTCTGCAGGCTGGCCTCGACGCCCTGGCCAAGTGGTCAAAGGAGTGGCTGCTCCCCTTTAGTGCGGCAAAGTGCAAAATAATGCACATCGGGAACCGCAGCCCGAGGCTGACCTACTTCTTCGACGGCGCCGAAATCGCGGTCGAGTCCACTGAGAAAGACCTCGGGATCTTCGTGGATTGCCGGCTCCAGTTCCACGTGCAGACGGCGGAAGCGATCTCCAAGGCCAACCAGATGCTGGCGATCGTGAGGCGGTTTCTGCCAACATCGATGCTCGCACGTTGTCATTGCTCATTAAGATCTTAGTACGTCCGTACTTAGAGTATGGCAACGTCAGCTGGGGCCCGTTCGGCAAACTGGACCAGAAGAGTCTGGAGCTGGTTCAGCGACGAGCTACCCGGCTTGTCTATGAAGGGAGGCGCCAGCCATTCCCTGAGAGGCTCAGACTCCTTCAATTGCCCTCGCTGTACTGTCGTCGTCGTAGAGGAGACATGATAACAGTGTACCAGCTGTTTCACTGGAGGTATGTCGCTGTTGGAAAAGGAGTTCCTGACAAGGCACAACTCGGAGGTGACGAAAGGGCACCAATGGAAACTCCGAGCTAGGACTCTCGTCCGTCGTAACTCATTCAGCACGCGGGTTGTCAACGATTGGAACGCTCTTCCACACCCGGTCTTGTCGTCGACCTCAGTTGAACAGTTCAAGTCTAGGATTGATATGCACCGGGCCGACATCATGTACGTCGCTCCACGCTGAATCTTTCCATAATTTGAGACTGTTTGGTTACCGGACCGGGAGCCTGACGAAACCGGGACCTACAGGCCTAGTCAGCCCTGTGTATCGCCAACACATCCTCGATAATATTAAGTACGGATTTTTGCCAAGAGGGGAACCGTGATTAGTACCGATTTGTACTTTAAGTGGCGGAGTTCAGTACGCATAGATGCTAAGCAGAGCAGCCCGGTAGCCCAGGGCTGAACAGAGGAAATGAGATCGTTTAGAGGTGAACGTCGTGGACTTCTTTTCGTTCGATGGGAGGAGAAAAC